CAAAAGATTAACAATAAACTGGGAAATGTTATTGGCAAATCATACAGAAAATGAGTAATTTCCTCAATGTGTAAAAGCAATTGAACAAAAGATTAACCACGCAGCATTGACATGGGCAAAAGAAATACAAAAACTCTGGAACAAATGAAAGGATGCCAGTTTTCACTCATAACAAGAATAGACACACGGATTCAAAATAGACCCGGAGGCAGGCAGCTGACCTACCAGTTGCGAGGCAGCGCGTACGCTCAAATGCCATGTTGGAGGGCCCGGGTTCAAGTCCTCTCTCCGCTCCTGATTCCAGCTTCCCGCTAATTTGCACCCTGGGAGGCAGCAGGTGATGGCTCAACCACCCAGGCCAGAGACTGGGATTGACTTCCCAGCTCCTGACAGTTGCAGGCATTTGGGGAGTGAACCAGCAGGTGGAGATCGCTGTCTTTGTCTCTACCTCTTTGTCTTTTAAATAAATTTAAAAGCAAATAACAAATAAATAGGGTGAGCACTTGGTGCAACAGATAAGATTGCTTGGGATACTTGCAGTGTCTGGGTTCTGGCTCTGCTCTCAATTCCAGCTTCCTGCTAGTGCACCCTTTGGGTGACAGCTAGTGATGGCTCGAATACCTGGGGCTGTGCCACACACTGTGGGAGATCAGGCTTTGGCCTGGCCCAGCCCCTCTTGTCAGAGACATTTGGAGAAAACATACAGAAAAATTGCTGTCTGTCTCTGACTCGCTCTCACTCACTCTCTGCCATCCAAGTAAATACAATAAAATCCTTGGAAAGATTTCTTAAAAACAAAAGACACCGTTCACCTATTACATTGACCAGAATCAAAAGTAAGTAATGCTGTGGGCCAAGCTTCATGAACCTGGCCTCATCCAATGCCAGCCGCAGCAGTTTCGGTATCTGTAATAACAGCAGAACACCTGCCCTTTGATCAACAACACTCAAAGGCATCGAATATACAGATGAATTCTCACACGCGGGAAACGTCCTACGTACGATTAAGTGTCACAACACCGCTTGTCGCAACAAAAGATCACAACCTAGAATTTCACCAACAGGGAGATGGATTATGTCTTGGCCCATTAGGCTGCTGTAACAAAATATCATGAAACTGTTTTTGTTTGTTTGTTTGTTTGTTTGTTTTGCCTGGAGGCTGGGAGGTCCATGATGGGTGCACCAGCAGTCTTGGTGTCTGATGAGCGCTTGTCCCGCGGTTCATAAACCATCATCTTTCCTCCACATCCTCACATGACAGAGGGCCAAGCTAGTGCCCCAGGGGTCTTTCCCACCTGTGAGGGCTCTGCCAAAGACCCATCTCTTTTATATATACATATATAAAGATTTATTTTATTTATTTATTTATTTTATTTATATATGAATGTGAGGCCAATCAACTCAGATCATCACAAATTAATTCTGTCGCTTCCATTCACTGGAAAATTATGCAGCCTTTAAAGAACCTTCCACACATCAAATTGGAAAAACCATTAAAACCTACTGACAAGAGAACTAACCAAATTCCAGGACAGTGCGGGCTTTCATATTATCATACCTGTGAAAATAAAGGTGGGGGAGCATTTGGCCCAGCGGCTAAGATACTGGTAAGACAGAGATCAGAGTGCCTGACGCCAGCTTCCTGCTAATGCAGACTCTGGGAGGCAGCGGTGATGGTGCAAGTTAACCAGGGCTCTCCATGGAGACCTGGACTGAGTCCCTGGCTCCCAGCTCCGGCCTGGCCCAGACCCAGCTGCTGGAGGCATCTAGAGAATGACCCAGTAGGTAGACATTCTATCTTTGTCTCTGTGTCTCTGTCCCCTCACCCTCTCTATCCCTACCTCTCAAATTAACAAATAAAAAAAATTTATCAACAATAAAAAAGAAGGTAGAAATAAGCAATGGAAAAAAATAGCAACATCTATTGCCTCTGGACCAGGGAAGAGGTAACCTGGGGAACAGGGATATGAGCAAGGTTTCCGAGACTTCAGGTTTTAGACCCTGGAAATGTAAAATTAAACATTTTTAAAGGTTCTTTTTTTTCTCTAAGAGGTGCTGCTCCTTTTAGAAAACAATTATTTGAGACAAACTCCAGTAAAGAGCAAAGCGATCTACACTTCTCTCAAACTCACATGACTTATATAGCCAAGGTTTTCTTTTTATCCACGTACGCAGCCATCGACACTTAGTGTTTTCCTTTTATGATACACACATTTCCTCTTCCTTGACAAGTAAAGCTTGCTTACCAACCAGTATTCTCTTGGCTGATATTGCACCTCGTTGCATAGCCATATATTTTATGTCAGTGGATTTTAGATACCCATTTAAAATAGAATGATAGGCCAGCCTCGTGGCTCACTAGGCTAATCCTCCACTTGCTGCGCCGGTATCCTGGGTTCTAGTCCCAGTTGGGGCGCCGGTTCTGTCCCGGTTGCTCCTCTTCCAGTCCAGCTCTCTGCTGTGGCCCGGGAAGGCAGTGGAGGATGGCCCAAGTGCTTGGGCCCTGCACCTGCATGGGAGACCAGGAAGAAGCACCTGGCTCCTGGCTTCAGATCAGCGCAGCGCTGGCCGTGGCGGCCATTTGGGGAGTGAACCAACGGAAGGAAGACCTTTCTCTCTGTCTCTCTGTCTCTCACTGTCTAACTCTGCCTGTCAAAAAAAAAAAAAATAGAACGAGAGCTCCCCTTGCCATATTGACTGGCTGCCTTAGAATTCTACTTTTTTTTCTTAAGCATAACAAGCAAGGGAGAAAGCAGATGTCTTCTGTGTTGGCCATTTCTATACCTGTAAGCACACAGCCATCATCAGAGAACGGGCCAGTGGTATGATGGAAACAGCTCTCCCCAGCTGATTTGTAACGTTTGCCCATTCCCGTGGTGTAAATATTCCCACTGTAGCCAATACAAGCTGCCTGCCCTAGCCCACGGTAGCCATGTCCCTGTTGGTCACCCTTTGGGGAATAAAGAGGACTCCAGGGAAGTTGATGAAATCAACTAAAGAAATGGCTCTTGACAGCCCTACCTAACCATGAAGACAACAAACCAGGAGGAACGACAGAGACAAGCCAACCAGAAGCCGTGCATCCCCCAGCAGCAGTCACCATGACTGTTTCAAGCAGCCGCCTGTTCCAGTCCAAAAGTTGCATCCGTCTGCCACGTTTGTTATTTGCTTTGGACGCTGTCTCCACAGCTGTGGTTGTAGCTGGAATTCATTAGCTCTGAGCTCCACTTAAGAACACTCCACCTCCTCCCCTTCCCTCTCCCAAAACCCAGCTCGTCCAGCAGGATTGTTCCTCCTGCTCCTTCGTATGCTGCGCTGGCCTGGTTTGGGGCGACTGACTTCGCTAAGGACTTCCCACTCTTTCCAGCAGACTCCCCAGAGAACTGCAGAGCCACATAGCTTTAGCCTCAGTGCAGCCTTGGGAACCAGAGCCTGGCCAGACTATTTTTAAAAATGAAAATAAAATGCTGATAGGGTAAGGAAAAGCTGGCCGGTGGCCTACAGATCTGGTCAACAACTTGGCCTTTCTCTTGATTTTCATAAAATGCTGGTCAGAAGCAGTTTAACATTATTTTCTTAAGAATGATCCCGGGGCCGGTGCCGTGGCTCACTTGGTTAATCCTCCGCCTGCGGCACCGGCATCCCATATGGGCGTCTGGTTCTAGTCCCGGCTGCTCCTCTTCCAGTCTAGCTCTCTGCTGTGGCCTGGGAAGGCAGTGGAGGATGGCCCAAGTCCTTGGGCCCTGCACCTGCATGGGAGACCAGGAGGAAGCGCCTGGCTCCTGGCTTCAGATCAGCACAGCGCTGGCCATAGCGGCCATTTGGGGGGTTAACCAACAGAAGGAAGACCTTTCTCTCTCTCTCTCACTGTCTAACTCTATCTGTTAAATTAATTAATTAATTAAAAAATAAATAAATAAAATAAAATAAAAAGAATGATCCCAACAGGGAAAATTGTTCCTTTGTCCAGGTGGGGAAGGCAGTGGCTGGATGGACCTGCTGTTGATCTTCAGGCACGGGATAATCTGCAGTCTCCTTACCCCACGCCAAGCTGGAAGGCTAGCCGAGAGCCTGCTCTCTCAGAAGAGAAGTCCCTGCCATTCTTCCTTCTGCAGAATGTCTAAAATAACAGGGTGTTCCTTTGCCTTGCCTCAACGCCTCTGCTCATTTACTTCCCAATGCAAGAGCACCTGCCTCATCTCCGAACACCACAATTCTGTAGGATACAGTGAAGTCCCTTCTTCCCCCATAGTCAACAGCCCCCTGTCTACTTCATCATAGAATCATCTTTCCCATCTCCAAAATGCTAAGGTGTTTCGATCTGAACCGCATGTCTAGCGGTTGATATAAGTGGCCTTATATTTTGCCTTGATTCTTTCACAGACGTGCAACCTGTCTCGCTCCTGAACTAGACTTGATACTTGTCAATGGCAGGGCCATCGGTTTTTACATTTTTTTTAATCCTCGCAGAAAAGGCTGCCAAGCAGGATGGACAGCCAGTTGCTAATGAATTCTTCTTTTCCTCTATGCTGTATCGATTCAGCTTCAAGCCTCACCCTCCATTCTTTTCATTCTCAGCAGCTACCTTCTCTCCCCTACCTCCTGATGCCTCAGGACATGAAGTGTGGGGCGAGATAAGACAGAGACTTTTCAGGGGAAAGTGCACAGAGAGGCTAGAGCTCTCGAACTGTACGGGGCCCCATGTCCTTGTGTGTCTGCTTGCTTTGCTGTCCCTGTGTATCACGTATGGATGGCCTCTTTGCCTATCTCGCTCAGCAGATGGTAACTCCGGTGAGGATGAGGAAGGACCACGTGGCTGCTTTCCTCCTCCTTGGGGTCCTAAGCACAGCTTGAAGCCTGGCACACAGCAGGTGCTCAATGCGCTCCTGAGTGAGAGAAAGAACGAGTGTGGAGAATGCAGCCGAGGGCGTCAGCAGGTCTCTGCCTTCTTGTTCCTGCAATTAAAAAAATAACGAAAACAAAACCCCTGGCTCTTTCAGGCGACACAAGATGTACAAAGAGCAGATGAACCTCACCTCACTGGACCCTCCACTGCAGCTACGACTCGAGGCCAGCTGGGTCCAGTTCCACCTGGGGATCAACAGCCACGGGCTGTACTCCCCGTCCAGTCCCGCGGTCAGCAAACTCCTGCACGACATGAGGCACTTCCCCACCATCAGCGCTGGTGCGGTTCCTGGGCTCAGGCAGGAGGGGCCGACCGTGCACCAGGGAGGCTGGGTGCACCTGCCAAAGGGCTGGTGCTCACAGATGGGTAACAAAAACATGGGCTTCCATCTTTTTCCCTTTGAAAGAGATCTTCTAACCCTAGCCTCATCAGGACCCCATCAGGGAAGCACAGGAGGTGTTCTGCACCCTGAGAGAAAGGCGACCCCTACTGTTCATCGGGTGCGTCTTTCGATCTAGGAGATGCATCCTCTATCAGACAGCCGCCTTATGGCAAGGACAGGATCATTGCCATTTCACACATGGGAAAACCAAGACTCGGAGAAATTGGGTAACCTGGCCAAGGACCCAGTCGGGAGGCTGGGATTCCAACGCAGGCCCTCTGTGTGCTCTAGCGCTATGACAGTGACACAGCGCATTGTTAGCATGGATGAAACCAGACTTGGTCTCCCAGGCAGGTGCTGCTGGAACATCCACCAAAGGGCTGAAGAGCGCGGGCCCCGGGGTGGAGCAGGGTGGTCCAGGCTACATCACAGTCGCCCCCTCTGGTGAAGCAAAATCTAGGGTCCCCGTGTGGTTGGCTCTCCCGGGAGCATGGCTGGGAGTTCTCACTGCCTTTCTCCTCCTTTGCAGATTACAGTCAGGATGAGAAAGCCTTGCTGGGAGCCTGTGACTGCACCCAGAGTAAGTGCCCTGGCCCCGCCTACAGCCTGCCCCCTCATCGTCCCACCACCCACTCCAGGGAGGGCCCTGCCAGGAATGGAAGGTATACGCTTCTCTCTGCCCAATCCCTGAGATGTGCCCCCTTCCTAACTCACCCCCACCCCACAGAAAGAAAAGGCATTTCAGAAGTGCACTAGTGTAGGATCCCCCCCACACACACACACGTGGTCCAGGGACAGACGTCATCAGCATCCCTGGGGAGCTTGTTGGAACCACAGAGCCTCAGTCTCCACTCTGTACTCTGGGTGCAATTTCAAATTGAAGAAGCCAGGCCGGCAACGTACTGCATTCACCTGGGGAGCTTTTATTAGAATCAGCTCCCCAGGTGAGGCCCAGGCATCTGCATTTGTAAGTGCTCTGTGCAATTCTAGTGCAGGCAAACTTGAGACCCCCTAGCCGGGGCAAATGACTAACAGAAGCAAAAAGCTAAGAGAGTGCAGCAGAGCTCCCATGGGGGGGGGGGGCACTGTGGACTGGTTAGGGGTGGCCCTGGACACTGAAGCCCCCCGCCAGTCACCTCCAGCCACAGGATAGCCTTGTTCATTTACCTCAATGGGTCGAACAGGTAAGAAATTTCTCCAGGCGACATAATGTATCAAAGGTGTGAAAGATAAAGGTTTACGGGGCCCAGGCTTCCCTGTCCTTTAACTAAGCATCTGCTGTTTGCCACGTTCTAGAACACAAGGGGAGGGAGACCCTCACTAGAGCTTACTGCAGGGCTGAGAGGCTGAGGCCAGTGAGGTGACCCAGATACAAATTGCTTTTTAAATGTTTAGTTAGTTATTTGAGAGGCAGAGAGATGGAGCCACGACAACTGGGCAAAGCCAAGAGCCAAGAACACAATCCAGGTCTCCCACACGGGTAGCAGGGACCCAGTACTTGGACCATCGCTGCTTCCTCCCAGGGCATGCATTAGCAGGAAGCGGAAACTGGGGAGCCAAGAGCCGGATACTGAATCCACACAGGACGTGGGTGTCCTAATTGCTAGGCTAAACACTTGACTCCTCCTGTGCAAAATGCAAGGAGGTGCACTCACTGCACTGTACCCCCAGCCTGGGACACAGCCTCAAACAGGAAGGGAGAAAGAGAAACAGACTGGTCTATGGCTCCCCCAATCAGAGGCTACCAAGTGCGACTAAGACACAAGAAAGGGTCCGTTCTTCTTAGGAAAACGTTCTTGGGGATTTTCAGTGAGCATCTATCTGGGGAAACCTGTAGAGTTTGCCTTTCTCCCATGCTGACAAAGTACTCTCTCTTGCTCCCGGGCACACACTCATGGCCTGGCCCCTTGGAGAAGAAGCGCCACTTGCGATGCCAGCCTCCTGCTGAAAGGCGGTGGGGAGAGCTTAAGTACACGGATCCCCACCAGCCCTGCAGGAGACCTGAGCTGAGTTCCCAGCTGCTGGCTTTGGCCATGCCCAGCCCCAGATGTTGTGGGCATTTGGGGAGTGGATCAGCCGTCTCTCTCTGTCTCTCTGTATATCTGATGCCCATCCCTTTCTGTCCTAAATAAATAATTAAAATTTGAACACTTTAAAGAAATTGTACTGTACCCCATAAAAATATTCTACATGTTAGTTAAAAAAAAAATTAACTAAGAGAAAGCAGAAGACGTTGGCTGGGTTTATGGACCTAACGCACTCTCTGCCGCCTCCCAGTCGTGAAGCCCAGCGGGGTCCACCTGAAGCTGGTGCTGCGCTTCTCCGACTTCGGGAAGGCCATGTTCAAGCCCATGAGGTAAGTGACCGCCATCCTCGCTGCCGTGCCCGCCGCGGCAGCTCAGTGATGGTAAAAACGATTCCCAGAGCAGCCCTTCCGCCGATGGAGCGGAGGCCTGTGGCGGGCGGCTGCCCCCGGGGCGGGGTCCAGAGGCTGGACGCTCAGTCCCTGAGCTGCCTGAGCTGCGGTGGCAGAGGCACCTCCGGAGGGCGGGGCCGGAGCGGACAGCTGCACGTGGGCTTCACCGGGTAGCCTGAGATAATCCCCACGGCCTTTCCCACCCTCACGGAGTCCATCGGACACTTGGACTTGGAGCATCCCTCTGTGGCCTCCGGGCCCAAGTAACCTAGAGAACCACTCCTACATAAGGAGCTTGCCCTGGTTTTCTGATGTACGAATCAGTTTCTTGGTCTATTTAAATACGTAACTTTTCAAAGATGAACATGAGACAAATGTCTGCATATATACGAGTCTTTACATCTCATCAAATATATGTAGTATGCCATATAGATTTAGAAATACTGCTTCCCCACCACCAACTCACATTACACTTGTTAGAAAGGTTTTGACATTGGTTAACATCACTCAGTCAAGTTCAGGGTCATTGTTAAATCAATTCTTCTCCAATTCCCCTCCCCCATCACCACCAACCACCTGTTGTAGGCAGTTCCATCAGGCAGTGCAACCAGCATGGACCAAACTCGTTTCAGGTGAAAGAGTCTGTCCTGAATGAAACAAAGTGACCAAGGGGACCCTCACCACTTGAGAAACGAAACAAGAAAATTTGCAAGGCTCTTTTCCCTAGGGACAGTTTCCAGAGACACTGCATTTTATATTCAGGCATATAAAGCACTAAAATCAGTCACCACTCACTTGCGTTGCTCTCCAACGGGAGCTATGGCAGCAACACACACGGTGATGAGCCGAGGTTCCATAGCAGGCAGGTGACTCTGGCACGACGCACAGTTGAACGCAAGAGCTGCCAAAGAGATTCCAGCCATGAGTTTTAAATCATTAATAGTCATGCACTCTTTTTTAAAGATTTATTTACTTATTTGAAAGGCAGAGTTACAGAGAGAGAGGGGGGCAGAAAGAGAGAGAGAGAGAGAGAGTCTTCTATCCCCTGGTTCACTTCCCAAATACCCACAACAGCCAGGGCTGGGCCAAGCCAAAGCCAGGAGCTTCATCCAGGTCTTTTGCATGGGTACAGGGGCCCAAGCACTCGGGCCATCTTCGCTGCTTTCTCAGGCACATTAGCAGGGAGATGCAGCAGAAGTGGAGCAGCTGGGACTCGAACCAGCATCCATAACAGGACGCCAGCGCTACAGGCAATAACTTAACCCACTGCACCACAGCACCAGCCCCAGTAGCCATGCACTTAATATAGCATTGTTAAGAGAGCACTGTTTAGGGAGAGGCAGCTTGGAGCGCATTGCTGTAGAAACACGCAGTGTTCATGAGGAGCTGGAAGGTTGCAGTGAGTCTGCACGTTCGACACAGCTCCCACATGCCTGAATTGACTCCCAGGAGCAGAACCCTCTCACCCGGCACATTGCGAGTCTCTGTTGTTGAAAACGGAAGCCGGTGTGCACACAAGAGCTCCTGTTTCACTTTTCCGTGTCAGGAAGGGGCAAGCCACTGGAACCTGCTGGTGGCTTTTTTGTTTTGTTCTGTTTGTAGGAAAATAAAGTAACATCTCTCTGCCCTGACAGTTAGAAACAAATATGACAGTTGCTCCAATCACCAGCCTTTTCCTGGAGCACAACCCCAAAGCGCCACCCTCCAGTGCTGAGGGCCATTTTACCCATTCTTATGCCGTAGAACAAAGTTCAGTGTTCAGCTCTAGAAAATGTGGTTCAAAATCAAAATGGTATCCTCTTAAGATGCGTGCTTGAAAAATCATGCTTTTTCTAAAAAAAAAAAAAAAAAAAACACACACCTTTCCTGGAATTTAAAGTGAATAGCATCTTTTTTTTTTTTCTTACTAAAGAGGGAAAGTAGATATTCACCTTTGGGAACAAAGTAAAATAGCTTTCAAATTTAAAAATCGCAACCACCATGTGCCAGACAAAACAAGGAAGTGGTGTTTTTGAAAATCCTAAAGGAGACAGTCAAGGGCACTCCAAAGTGCGTGGAAAAGGAATTAAAAGATCAAGTTCATCTGGGTGCAAAGAAATGCTGAAATCCACACACAGGCTTTTTCATTATATGCATTTCTTGGGAACTTTTTGATAAATTCTTCCTTGCATGGACTTCAACAATTTCTTGCTCCCAAAATAAACTTATCTTGATTTCCATTTCCCGCAAACTTTTTCAAGTAGCCTCATATTCCTGTGGATAAAATTCAGGAATTAGAACGAGACCAGGGACCGTTCTGTTGGCCCAGGCCTAGGCGTCCACAGCGATGCTGTGGAGAAGCGGGGGAGGCCTGAGCGAGGAGCGCTGTGCTATAAATGCGGCCATGGCTTTTAAAATAGAATCTTCGCTTTTGGCAGCACCTCGCTGTGGTTTCCAGGACTGGCTTGCGCTTTTTTGGCAAAGTGCACATCCCCCATTTCAACTGCCAGTGCTGTTTATTTACAGATTTCTGCAACATGATGTACATTTACATTGTCTTTGCAAGCCACTGTAAGAGCCCCACATGCACGTGACGGATTATAAAATCAGCCCGAGCCTCATTCTTCCATGTTTGTCAGCATCAAGGCAAACTCAGCCCTAGAGGCCAGAAGAGAGCCCAAGGCGCCCTTTGAGATCAGGAGATGCTGTCCTGAACACACACAAGTGCACACACACACACACACACATACAGAGCCACGTGCACACGGGCAGGAATCCATCACACATTTTAATGCGCACAGAAATCAGTATCTGCTATTCCAGCCTCCCGCAACGCTCCGTCCGGCTGGACCTGCTCGTGTCCATTTTGTCTGAAGGGACAGTCTTGTGTCATTTGTCCTAATTGCGCTAAGAGCCAGAGCTGGTCTGTTCTTCAAACCTCAGTCATACGAAACTGCGTCTCCAGGGCACTTTTCCATTTTCCAGTCCTGGCTCACGCCGCACCCGTCTCAGCCCTTGGCATCTGGTCTGCACAACCTCTGGTTCCGCCAAGCAGTCTCTCTTCTGTTCACACTGCAGCACAGCGTCTGTATTTCTTCCCTCACAACTGCTAGGCTTGCGGAAGAAGCAACCACTGTCACCGAACAGTGGGAACTTGGTTGCGTGTCTTCCCTGAGCCCGGGGAGCGCAGGGCCACTCCTGCTTCGTCGCTGCATGGCCCATGTGGACGTGGAGTGTCGGGGCAGGTTCTTTCTCGTGGACCAGGCCTCTCAGCTGTCTTCTCGGGCGCCCAGCTGAGGCCTGAGTCCAGGGCGTGACTCCCTCCCTGCTTCCAGACAGCAGCGAGACGAGGAGACGCCCGAGGACTTCTTCTATTTCATCGACTTTCAGAGACACAACGCTGAGATCGCAGCTTTCCATCTGGACAGGTAGGGTCTGGCCCAGGGGATGACGCGGGCTGGAAGGGCGCTGGACAGACCTTCAGAAGGAAACTCCCTGGCTTTCTACTTTAAAAAATTCTTTATTTATTTGAAAAATAGACAGAGATCATCCATCTGCTTGCAAAAAAAAATAAATAAATAAAATCCAAAAGCGTGCAACAGCCAGAGCTGGGCCAGGAAGAAGCCAAGAGCCTGGAACTCCATCCAGGTCTCCCACGTGGGTGGCAGGGACCCAGGCACTTGAGCTTGGGTCTGCTGCCTCCCAGGGTGCGCTGTTAGCAGGCAGGGAGAATTGGAAGCAGAGCAGGGACTTGAACCCGGGCCCTCTTACATGGGATACAGATGTCCCAAGCAGCATTTTCACCCTTGTGCCAAACACCTGCCCCTCACTTTCCACTCTTCATACTTCAGTGTGGTCCTTCAAATGCGATCCCATGGATCAAAAAATACAGGATCTCAATGTAACAAAAAGAACAATTTAGGAAGAAAACTAACCCCGCCCCATTTCTCAGGGGGCTGCCTTCCACAGGGCATTGCCCTTTGCTCTAGTTTTCCTGATCTGAAATTGAGAAGGCGGCCGCTCCCATTGGTGCAAGGAGTCTTCAGGTCAGGAGACTAGCAGGTGAAACCACGCCCCTGAACTTCCTGGCTCCTCCCACATGCTCAGGCATCGCTGTTCCAAGTGTGGGCTCTGGACTAGCCTCACGGGCACCACCCAAGAGCTTTTTAGAAACGGGCAAGCCTCACCCTAGCCCCATTCAGTCACAACCTGTGTGTGAACAAGATCCCTATAACACAGCCTGTGTGGGTGGAAGAAAGCCCAGGAGGCTTGGTGGGGGTAAGGATTCTCTCTCCACCTCCCTAGTCCTGGATCTGCCCTGGGCACCAGCAGCCCAATACCGCAGAGACCCCTCCCCACCGTGGCCACCTGCTGGGCACGGTCAGGAATGTCAGCCAATTCTGAATGTGCTCCTGCCTAGGTACAGGTCCTCTCCTCCCCCATTCCCTGACCACCCCTGAGATGCCAACAGGGCCCCCTCTCTTCCAGGATCCTGGACTTCCGGCGAGTGCCGCCAACTGTGGGGAGGCTGATGAATGTCACCAAGGAGATCCTAGAGGTCACCAAGAATGAGATCCTGCAGAGCGTCTTCTTTGTCTCCCCAGGTAGAGTCCCCAGTGCGGGTGAAGGGCACAGGTCACCGATAGGTGTGGCAGAGGTCTGGCCCCTGCTGGTAGCACACGCAGTACTGGATGGGCGGATGCGTGCATCTCACACTCCCATCTGGTCTGCTTGAGGATAACACAAGAGGAAGTGTGGACGGGGTAAGGCTGTGAGGTGCGGGCCAGCCTGTGTGGGCACCCAACCTACACAGGTGGCCTCCCTGGAATCAGGGTACCGAAGAACGTCCTCGTCATGTGGACAGGATGCAGTGAGACGGGGGTCCCACCCTGTCTCTGCTCTATTTCAAAATTGCTTGAGCAGTATTCCCTAGCCCCACCTCTGGAAAAGGCACCGCTCCTTCCTCTGCCTTTTCCCAAGCTGAGTTTCGGGTTCCCCATCTCTCCCGGTGGATTTCTCAGGACAGGAAGATGGCACGCCTCCAAGCCCCCCTCTCACGTCTGTCTCCTCTCCCAACCTCCAGCCAGCAACGTGTGCTTCTTCGCCAAGTGTCCGTACATGTGCAAGACCGAGTACGCTGTCTGTGGCAACCCGCACCTGCTGGAGGGCTCACTCTCTGCCTTCCTGCCATCCCTCAACCTGGCCCCCAGGCTGTCTGTGCCCAACCCCTGGATCCGCTCCTACTCGCTGGAGGGAAAAGAGGAGTGAGTTGGCTCCCTGGCCACAATGCCGTGCCCCCAGCCCTGCGAGTCCAGTCCTGGAGAGTGGCCGTGCTCCCTAGCCCCGAGACCTCTGGCTGGCCTGGCTTTGGGACCCCAGAAGCTGCCTGGGCACTCCTTTGGCCCTCTTCCTACTGAGAGTTGAAAATCCGTGCCCAGGACACATGGTTGAGCAGCACTCAACAGCCTCACCTCTGCAAAAGGCAATGCTCCCTCTTCTGCCTTTTCCCAGGCTTTGAGTGCCAGGTTCCCCACTCCTTCCCAGTGGATTTCCTGGGGCGGAAAGAGGACACCCTACAAGACCCCCCTCCCTCCTTGCCTGCCCCCTCTCCCAAACTCCAGCCAGCAATGTGTGCTTCTTGGGGCTCTCCACATTGATGCGGTGGCCTGGGTCTGTCCTCACACTTCAGTTCATATATTCAGCTATGAAGCACCTGCTACACACCTACCCCTAAGTGCTGGTGGATACGGACATCACAGACACAGGCTGCCCCTCCCCAGGAACCTCCACGGTCCAGTGGGGCAGACAGAGCAGCAGGCAGGTCACAGAAACGCAATCCTTGTGTAACAGAGAGGCACCAAGCAGCCGTGGGGCAGGCCCCTGGCTCCCCTGAGCAAGACGCATGAAGCCGAGGGTGCCCCTTGCTGAGCCCCAGGGCCTGGCACACCCCGGGGCCCATCACAGGTCCTCAGTGTTAGCTGAGTGAGTGACAGGCCCAACTGCCAGGCCGCCTCCACCATGGTGGGAGGGGCGGTGACCAAGGAGGAACGGCTGGAGGACACGACAGATGCTAAGGGGTTTTGTGGGGAAGAGGCCCCAGATGGAAACGGGGGCAGAGGGACACGAATGAGAGAAGATGACAGAGCGTGACCTGGGCGAGGGCCAGGGTTTCAGCACCTGCCTCCACCTGCCCTGTCATCTCCCCTCTGGCCCGGGGCACCCCAGCTTTCAGGTTGATGCTAACAGAACAAACAATAGGACCAGAAGCTTCTCCCCGTGTGGACTCTGCAGCCTCCCATGGGCACTGCCCAGGGCCCTCCAAACGACCTGGCCACTGCCTGGCATGCCGAGAAGCTGCCGGCAGTCCAGGCAGGACCAGGGAGGCAGGCATCGGGAGTGGGGTGGGCCCCCAACTCCTCGCTGTCTGGCTTTTCCAGCCCTTGGACTTCTCACCCTCAGGTGGGAGCTCAACCCCCGCTACTGTGACACAGTGAAGCAGATCTACCCATACAACAGCAGCAACCGGCTGCTCAACATCATCGACATGGCCATCTTCGACTTCCTCATAGGTGGGTCCCGGTGCTAGGGCGCCCGGCAGACCCTGGTTGGCCTGGGAGTCCCCTTGACCTTGAATGGAAAGTTGCAGCCAGGCTGGCTGATGAGGACTGAACACCCCACACCTCCCCCAGACGTGACGGAGGCCCAAGAGGACCGAAGTGCACGTGCTGCCCCCGACTTGAGACAACCGGAGGCAGTTGTTAGGGTCACCACTCCTAAGGCAGGTACCCAGCTTGCCACAAGGCCTGTGGGCGTCAGAGCTGTTAGATGTTCCCTTCACCATGTCAGCGGAAATCGGGTGGGGGGAAACAGTGCACTACAATGTGTGGCCATAGGAGGGCCCAGGGTTACGCAGTTACAGAAGCAAAAGTGGCCAACACCCCCCATGCCCACTCTCCCACGCTCAATGTTTCTGCCCCTAGGACCCAGGAAATGCTTTGGATCCAAGACCACTCACCTCGTGTTTGCTTGTTTAGCTTCCTTCTCTAACACCCTTGGGGAAATGGCAGCCCATGGCCCAGGTTCCCACTCCTGTCTCTGAACTGCTCACTGGCCTCCCTCCCTGCAAGAGGGCTCAAGGGGCGGGGGTACCTGTGCCCTAGCCCCAGCCCCGGCTCCCATCCCCTGCCCCCTTCCCCCACAGGCAATATGGATCGCCACCATTACGAGATGTTCACCAAATTTGGGGATGATGGGTTCCTTATTCACCTTGACAACGCCAGAGGGTAAGTCCAACTCGGGGTCCGGCACCCCGGTCTGCAGCCACACTCCAGTGCAGGGGCTCGGGGAAAGCAGAGGCCCCAGGCTGCGCCTCCACCGCCACGGGCCATCTCCTTCTCGCCCTTTTTCCTCTTCATCTTTGCCCAGTGCCACCTGCCTGCCCTCCAGCCTATGCGCATTCTGTGCCCTCCAGTGAGGCAGGCTGAGGTTTGCTGTATTTTTTTTTAAAACCACACAGCTCCTGGAGGCAGACAACAAGCTTTTATCCTCACAGCTGGCCCTGTGAGGTTGGTTTTAACATCCTTGGAAAGACGCTTTATATCAGCAGACGGAGATGGGCTGGAGAGGTGGCTGCCACAATCCCAGGCATTTTTACCCCAACCACTGGTTCAAAAAAGGCGGAGGCGGAGAAGAGAGCAGCCCGAGGGAGTGCGAATGATGCCTTGGCACCATGCAGAAGCCCGTTTCTCCCCCCAGGTTCGGACGACACTCCCACGACGAGCTGTCCATCCTGTCGCCTCTCTCGCAGTGCTGCATGTGAGTGTCCCGCCTGCAGGTAACGGGGCAGGGAGCAGCTGGGGCCGGCAGCCTGCTTGCCACCAAGCTCGGGAGCCCGGAGCCAGTCTTCACCGGCCTAGACGTGGCTGGGTAGGGTGATGTGAAACACCTCACTTCCTGCACTTGCGACCATCACCTCCTCCCCAGGCACCGCTCAGGCTTTTTCCTCTGGCATGGGATGGAGTAGGATCCCATCTTTGAAGGCTTCCGTCACCGCCTTTTATCTTTAACCCGCTCAGATACTCGCCCACTTTGGCAGAGCCTGACAACCTTCATTAACTATTACTGTCTGATCACCATCGAAGCGAAGTCCTGGCCACCCTTCCTCTGGAGGACATCTAACCTACTTCCCTCCCTCTCCTGTTTTAGCCAGGACTGTGAAATTGTCCACCTGCTCCGCCACAGCACCCAGAGCTAATTGTTAACATGTGTTTCACACCTAGTGGGACCTCCTCCGTTGTGGGGAACTCAGAGGGGAGTATGGATGGGCTTCATTGATTTTTTAGGTGCAGTTAAACATGTCTTCCTTCTCCCTCCTCCTGAGCAGGATGGGAAAACTTGGTATAGTGACAGAAGCCAGACAACTCAGCTGCTTACGCATCTGGAAAGAAACCCAGGGGCCAGTGCTGTAGCGTAGCAAGTTAAGCCATGGTCTGAAGTGCTGGTTTGTGCCCCGGGGGCTCCCCATCCAGCTCCCTGCTAATGCACCTGGGAAAGCAGCAGGAGATGGCCCAAGTGCTTGGGCCCCTGCAGCCACATGGGAGGCCCAGAGGAAGCTCCTGGCTCTTGGCTTCAGCCTAGCGCAGCCCCATTCATTACAACCATCTGGGGAGTGAACCACCAGATGAAAGATCTCTGTCTCTCCTCTCTCTCTCTCTCTCTCTCTCTCTCTCTCTGTAACTCTGCCTTTCAAATAAATCAGTCTTTACTAAAAATTATTCTAAAGTCAAGACTGGCCCCACCCCATCTGCATCCCTCTGACTCCAGGACCTGACACTCACAGAGACTGGCAGAACCCAGGGCTTTTGAGCTGGCAGACAGTTTCATCAGTTCACCTATGAGGCATTTTTCCCATTAGCTTTCAATCTCCTTGAAAAATCTTAAGTGTCACTTCAAGTTTGGTTCCCTGAGCAATGTCAGGGCAAACACCAGGCCTAACATCACTGTGAGTGACAGTCATTACTGTAGCACAAATGGCTCAGCAGGCTCCTGACCAAAGAGAATGGGCAAAGGAGTGCTAAACACCGGATGGCACTTTCCCCACTCCCTTCTACCTGGTTTTCATTAAATGTGCTTGAGAGGCTCTCAGAACGCCAGAACATCCGCCTCCCGACCATGTGGGGGAAGAGGCTCGGGCAAGTTCCTTTCTCTACCTTTGCTTATTTGGTTCCTGTGACTTGTCTTCTCAGGATAAAAAGGAAAACACTGCAGCACCTGCAGCTGCTTGCCCAAGCCGACTACAGGCTCAGTGACGTGATGCGGGAGTCACTGCTCGAAGACCAGCTTGCCCCCATCCTCACAGAACCCCACCTCCTTGCCCTGGATCGGAGACTCCAAACCATCCTCAAGACAGTGGAGGCATGCGTAGAGGCCCATGGAAAGCAGAACGTCATAGCCAATGGCGCGGCAGAACAGTCAGCCCCAGACTCTGGCCAGGCTAATTTGACAAGCTGAAGTCAAATTTCAGGAAATCCACCTGAAGCCAGTGGTGGGCTCCAGAGTACGCGTCCTTTAGGCAGTCCATCTCTTACTGCGGGGGTGGAGTCAGACTCAGGAAGGAGGTAAGGCACTGTCCCAAACAGCAAGTGGGAGCCACTGAACTTGACCTTGACTCCTTGGTGCACTGCTCCCATAGTGACTTGCCTTGGCTCCATCAACCTCAGCAGTTACTAGCTTCGTCAAGGCCACTGTCTCCTGAGCACACTCGGAAATCTGGATATGGGTCAAGCTCGGAGGGTTTGGAAACCTTGTTTCCAGGAAAAGTTTTTAACTGTAACAAATCAAATAAAAGGACATCAAGTGGATACCGGCTGTCCTCCAGAGCCTCATTATAACCACAAGTAAAACCTAATTCCTGGTCCAGGCAAAACGCCTTTGTGTATCGCAAGCATACTAAAAACCTGCGAGTGGGAACTCTCAAACTGGCTCAAATCAGACCTCACCCTTTCTACGTATTTTACAGTCACCGGCCCAGTATCAATACAATAATCTCTACTCACCAGCCCTCGAGTAAGTTCTCAGAAGTTTACAAGTAAAAAAAGATTTGCTCAAAATAGCAGAAAAGGGGTGTTCCAATCTGAGAGTATGAAATACCAATTGAAATAACATCAGGTGTATCAAAATTAGCAGCCAGTGACGACAGGAGGGAAACGGATCGGGGACGTCTCAAAGGTCAGGACAGCACCTGAACAGACATGGCAGGTGCGTGAGCTGGGAGCATGGCGGGAACAAGCCGGGGCCAACCACAAACTTCTTCACATAAAACCCTACAGACTGCCCCCACTTACTCCCTACAGCAGGGGACTATCTAGAAAGGTGAGGCCTCCACGTGTCCCCCGCCTCAGTCAACAGATCCAAACTTTAAATGGTTTCTCTCCCAAACCTCCCTTAAAACCAAGTATAAGAGGGGTTCTCTCTCCCCTCCATCTTCTCCCTGTTGACTTGTTAACATCTAGAACTCCCTTATTAATTATTCCATAATTAATAACTAACACAAACAGCAGCAATGTCCCCATTCAGGGGAATGACTAGACCAGTAAAACTGCCTGGTTTCATCAGGTCGGCTTCTCTTTAAGGAAGGTCAGATGCTCAAATAGTGCAAGTGTGAAGGGAACAGAGAAAAGCTAGAGAGAACAGGGGCAAGACCTAGAAATGTCACCCAAGCCCACTCCAACGCGTCCAGGGCCAGCCTGGGAGGACAAATAAGGGCACTTCGAGGGGCGGGCACTGGGAGTGCCTGGGATCAAGTCCCATGTCTGCTTCCAATCCAGCTTCCAGCTACTGCACACCCTGGGAGGCAGCACATGGCCGACTTAACACCTGGGGCCCTGCCACCCTTGTGGGATACCTGGCCAGAGTTCCTGGCTTCAGCCTGGCCCAGCTTTGGCTGCTGTGGACGTTTTAGGAGTGAACCAGCAGATGAGCTCTCTCTCGCCCCCTTTCACTCTGCCTTTCCAATAAGTAAACGGATACGTATATATAATTTTCTCATGAATATGTACTTCTGATCTCCCCTGCTGCTCCACGAAAAACCCTGAAAAAAATGTCACCTAATTCACACAATTAGCAAACCCTTTGTCCAGGAAGAGGAGGAGGGGAAGGGGAAACAGCGGGACGAACAGGACCCCATTCCCTTGAGTATCCATCTAAAGGCAAACTAGGCACTCTCGGATTCTGCCTGGAGAGGTGCCCACCTGCTCTGATGGACGCCCTACCCGATTAAACTTTGCAACCTTGCTGACCACTGTCCCGCGTCCGACTTTCATCCTGCACAAAGACCCCCATCCACTCCCCTCCGCTAACACGTTACGGAAGTAACACATGGGCCACCTTTCCTCCAGACCCTACCCTCCAGCATGCACGGATGAAAACTAAGGCTCAGAGGGGCCGGCGCTGTGGCGCAGCAGGTTAAAGCCCTGGCCTGAAGCGCCGGCATCCCATATGGGTGCCAGTTCTAGTCCCGGCTGCTCCTCTTCCAATCCAGCTCTCTGCTATGGCCTGGGAAAGCAGTAGAAGACGGCCCAAGTCCTTGGGCCCCTGCACACACGTGGAAGACCCGGAAGAAGCTCCTGGCTCCGGATCAGCGCAGCTCCGGCGGCTGTTGAGGCCATCTGGGGATCTGGGGAGTGAACCAGTGGATGGAAGACCTCTAACTCTTGCAAATAAATAAATCTTAAAAAAAAACAAAAACAAAAACAAAAAAAAACCCTAAGGCTCAGAGAGAACTGAGATCACAAAACCTCATGGTGTAGACGTCCTATGAAGTTCTGTTTCCACTGTTAACACAAAACCCCAACAGCATCTCACCCAATTATTAAATTACATCTGTCATTAAAATGAAAACTCAACTCTGCCCTAACCCCAGAAACTGCTTTACCTGAGATGGCCCTATAGCTGCAGTTTCCCACCTCATCAACTATGTCTCCCACCGCAAATCATTTGTTTCTTCCCTTCAAGAGGGACTGGGGCAAAGATGTTGAAAAAACAGCACTAGGGGGTTTGGGGCCTCCAAGCCACAGAGCCTCTGGGGGGTGAGCTACAGCTCCACTCCAAACCCCACTTCCACGATTACAGAAACTCACCAACTGAAAGTGACACAGTTAGCTTGATCACCATCTGTACAGTATACAACCTTATTAGTCATGTATCTTCCACAGTCCTAGTTTTTGACAGAAACTTACCGTCTATTAAAATTACCAGAAAAAATGTCCATTCTTAGAACTATCAAGTTCATCTAACATTCACCTTGAACCAGTGCTCAATCTCCTATGAAACAAATTCTCAGGGGCCAGTGTTGCAACATGGCAGGTTAAGCCACCGCTGGTAACATCAGCATCCCATATGGGCGCTGGTTGTGTCCCAGCTGCTCCACTTCTGATCCAGCCCCTTGCTAATGGCCTGGGAAAGCAGTAGAAAATGTTTGGGCCCCTGCCACCCACATGGGAGATCCGGATGAAGCTCCTGGCTCCTGACTTCGGCCTGGCCCAACCCTGGCCGTTGCAGCCATCGGAACAGTGAACAGATGGGAGATCTGTGTCTCTCCTTTTCTCCATAACCGACTTGAAAAATAAATAAATCCTAAAAGAAAATTCTCTTGATTCTATTGAAAACTTTTCATGTTACTACTGATAGCAAACTCAAATGAAAGGGAACTGTACACTATGTGAATTAGGGAAAGTGGGGTTTGGTGGAATTTATTCCAGCCACCCCAAAAGTCAGGGAGACAATTTCAGTTTGAAGACTGATAGTCATTTCTTTTACTACATTTGGTAGTAAATAGCAAAAATGAACAAAAAGCAGAAAAAAATTGCAAAAAATGAGGCAATAAGAAGTCCAAGGACTAGACTCACAGCACACAAACTCAAACAGCAGGTCTGATGGCCCTCTGTGCAACTTCAGCTGGGAAATGTGTGCTGGGAGACTCAGAACTTCCACTCTGGGGGCCGGTGCTGCGGGGCAGCAGGAAAGCCGCTGCCTGCAGTGCCCGCATCCCATATGGCCACTGGTTTGAGTCCTGGCTGCTCCACTTCCAAACCAGCTCTCTGCTGTCACCTGGGAAAGCAGTAGAAGATGGCCCAAGTCCTTGGGCCCCTGTACCCATGTGGGACACCCAGAGCAGCTCCTGGCTCTTGGCTTCGGATCAGCGCAGCTTCAGCCATTGCGGCCAACTGGGGAGTGAACCATCGGATGGAAGACCTCCCTCCCTCCCTCTCTCCCCCTCCCTCCCCCCTCCCTCTCCCTCTCTTGCTCCACCTCTCCTCTCTCTGCATAACTTTTTCAAATAAATAAATAAATCTTAAAAATAAAAAAAAGCTTTCACTCCCCTGCTAATGTCTGCAAAGGACTGTGAGAGGGCTATAAAGTATTGATTTGGGGGTTACAAGCACATTTTAGCAAACAATGGGCACATTTACAAATACAGAATCCTTGAATAATGAGAATCAAGGTAATTCATTTGAGGTTAACAAAGATGATAAAAAGCTCTCCATCTAGTGGTAACTTTAAATAACAAAGTTGCTTAAGAAAACTGGCAGAACTTCTCACAAAACACTCACTCATTTGGTTCTGCACGAGTTATGATGAAGTCAGAGCTCTGAAGTTATGTCACAAAACAAGGTCCAGCTGTCCACGTGCATAACAAAGCTGCTTTCTAAACTGACCCTACAGCAGAAGGATGAGACAGAATATTTCTCCGTTCAAATGCAGGTAACAGCCTGTGCTGGCAACTATCGCGACAGATCGCTTTGGGCACAGAATAAATGGTTACCTAGCCATGGGCTCCTAGACATTATTCTCACTCATCTACAAATACACTGCTAAGGGCCTAACAAAATCACAACCACAACTTCGTGATTGGAGATAAAGCAGTATTTTAAAAGCTGACATCATGCTTCTTCAATTTTAAAATGTCAACTTCTAAGCCATTAAAAAACCCAATAGATGAGTCTACGTGGGCCACTGTTCTACAGGGAAAGGCAACTATAACCAGGACAGTCAACCCAGGGACATTTTCTTTAGAGATAGTCCACTCATTCTAAAAGTTCCAACTCCAGCTGGTTGGGAAAAGGAACTAATGAACCTGACAGAGAGCACAACAAGAACACTCGTCAGCACACAACACATCTCCAACTTCTCTGGACATCAATGAGTACAGCTGAATCATCTCACCCCTCAGAAGCCTGGGGGATAAGCATCCAAGCAGCAGCAATTAGGCTTTATCTATGCAAAGCATAAAAGCATCCCTAAATGACTAAATGCATGTATTAACTGAAAACAAAAGAGCATGCTAATGCAGAAATGACACCTCCCCACTAGGGCTAGGAATGTTGCAAGCTCACGACCCAAATGGTCTCTACTAAAAAGACCACCTTTGGGCTTGCGACTGTATCTTTTCCTTCCATGACTCAGTAGACAAATCTGCTACATATCCATTACCCCTCAAGAAGTTTTCAATATCCATTCTTTGACAAACTGAATTGGAAAGCAATGCAAACAAATTACTCTTTCCAAACGCTGACCCCCATAATGTACTCTTCATTCTTGCCCACCATCACAGCTGACTTTCAGGGAGGGAAAGAGGTGATGAAGAGAGAGAGAAAGCAAAGAAAAACTGATTCATTTAAGAATTCAAATTATTTAATCTCTTTTTATTATGTGACCTACCATTAGGACAATCTATAACAAAAAGAAGAGTATGTTAGCACACACAGTATAATCAGACTGGTAACCAGGAAACAGTACAAAATGGTCCTTTGGCCATCGATACTTTCTAGAGCAGATCTCTTAATTCACGTACCAAGCCCAG